GGGGCCAGGGGGCTAAAAATAGCCCAATGCTAGGGAGGGGGTACACAAGCTCAGCCCCAGGGATGGGGGCAGCAGCTAGGTTTTCCCAGTCCTGGGACTGCACTGTACAGTTCAGTTAGATCAGGTTCCCCAGACCTGAGCTGAATTAGATTATCTGGGACTTAACTTACATCAGGTTGGCCATTTTTAAACTGATCTAACTGTCCTGAACTTCTGTACAGGTTGCACATAGATGCACCTAACTAAGTAGCATAAGGTTTGTATCTGGATGAACTAAGTTACATTGGGTGGCCATTTTTAACACGATCTAACCTCCCCCTAACCTCCCTGTACCCAGCCAGAATGATTAAGTAGCTGCAGACATAGGAAATAGAGGAATTAAAGCTCATCAGAACTTCCTTCCTCTGGGTCAAAATTTGACTTTTCAGGGGGAATGAAAGACAAACAGGTTCAAAAGAATATTTCTTTCTTAGAAAAAGTGTCACTTTTCTGTGCAAAATTTTCATTTGACCAAACCCCAATTTTCTATTAACAGACATTTTGAGGGATAGATAACAAATAGCTCAAATCTCTAAACATGAAGGAATGAAGGAAACAGAGGACTGTAAGAGCAGTTGTGAGATATTTTAAAGTGAAGGCTGATTATCTTTAGAAGTTTATTTGGGGGTGGAGGTTTAATTAACAGTGGTGTCACTTAAGCAGTCAAAAGTTGATCTCTTCTGAATCTGAAATTGCCACCAGATTATAAAGTGGCATTTACCTATTTAATTGCTAATTATTCAAAAGCCACTCTAAAGCATGCATAATGATTCAGTCTTCTCTGTAACTAGAGCGAGTGGGTAGGATCTGCTTATGGGCGGGATTCAAACCTCCCTATGGCCAGTAAAGAGATTGTGATTGCTTTCAGTAGGCCTTTCATCAGCCACAAATTACACTAGAGTTTTTCTTTTATAATGAAGACACACTTCTAACCCCCTTTTTTCCCCCCAGCCACCAACAGCTCTTACTCATAGCATGCAATCTCAAAAACTGAGGCACATCACAAGTGATATTTCTCAGAGTGTTTTCTTCCAGAGACAAGAAACAAATGCTCTTGCCCGGCCATCAAAGAGTTAAAAAAAAAGAAAGACGAAGTTTTAGAAAGAATCCATTCAAATCATGACATGAGAGAGACAGCTAAGATATTTTCTCAATGGAGGTTTAGTGGAATTTCCTAAAGATTTGGGGTAAAAAAAAGTCTTCAGCGAGTCTTAGGGGAAAAGAAAAAAAAGATCCTTTGAAACATCCCGACTTCTGTTATGATAAGCAGTTCGATAAGCCCACCCATGGTAAAGTTATTAGGAATTCATAGCATATGGATCCCATTAACCTAAACGTTTGCTTTTAAAGTAAACTTCTCAGTACACGACTAACAGTAAGTCCTAGCACTTCAGGTTTGAGGGTTTTGTTTTTACAAATGAATCTTGGGTTATCCAACCAATTAGCTGAATTCCCTGTGTAACTGTGCTTTTAATGAATTGCCAGGTCCTAATGAGACTGGGTCTACCAATTTTTTATTATTATTATTATTCAAAAGCAACCATTTAAAACTGAGATGGGGAAAAAATCTATAGTTAATTCAGTGGAATTCATTGCCACTGAACAATAACGGAGATAAATACATTAGAAAGATCCAAAAGAGGGTCAGACGATGATACATGTGAGAATAATGTCTGCCATTGCACTGGTTTTTATTTAAAAATGTGTATTAATTAGGTATCGTAGGATATTATTTAGAAGCTCCAAATGAGATCCTCATTAGGCCAGGCCTTTCTTGGTCTGCCATCTAGTACCATGTCAACCAATACTGCCTTGTTCCATTGTGGGGTTGTCGGGAACTAAATCAGTGCCCCCACCTAGGCTAGCCTGGGTGAGGAGGGTGTGTGGACACCCAGCAGGACTAAAAACAAGACCTGTCAAAGAGCAGATGAGCTCCCTGTGAGTCAATGGCCATCCATAGGTGGAGAGGAGATGGGTGCCACTGGGTCACTTTGTCCAAAGACTCACCAATGATGCACAGCATCTAAGGGAGGGGCGGGCAATTATTTTGGGCAGAGGGCCGCTTACTGAGTTTTGGCAAACCATCGAGGGCCACATGACAGGCAGCCCAGGGCAGATAAATATTAATTTTCTAAATTTTTTAGGGCCCCGCGGGCCGGATAGAATGGCCTGGCGGGTCGCATCTGGCCCCCAGGCCTCATTTTGCCCACCCCAATCTAAGGTGTCCAACAGGTACAGCAGCTTTGGGACTGACTTGACGTGACTTGACCTGAAATCAGGGCATGAGGATATTGAGTGCTTGACCAGCAAATAGGGGCAGAGCACATGGCATGAAGGAAGGACTGGGGAGAAGGAACTGAGATGGAAAAAACTTGCCAAGGACATGCAACAGATTAGTGGCAGCTCTCCCGAGTGTCATATCCACGGACCATATTGCATCTCTGGAAGGCTCTCGGACAAGCTTTGACTGTGAAACAATTTCTCTCCATGCTCCATTATTGTGCAATTTAGACACATTACAGGCATTATATGCCCATAAAAGATTCCAGACTAGATGGGCCATGGTTGTGTCCTAGGATGGAAGCGCCACAGCACATCAAGGGTTAAATGCAGCATTAGATTGCATTTCTAAATGAATACGGTCAAGCAAATGAAAAAAAAAAAGGGGTGGGGGGTGAGGGAAGCAATTAAGGCCATGCTATAAACAGAGCAGTCCTCGGGCAGGAGGCTGCTGCAAATTATGTGGAACATACTTCTCTTAACCACAACCCGATTGAAACAATTTACTGGGTATATGCGCTGAACTACACAGTACACAGGATCTGAATGACTGAGGGAGGAAAATGTCAAACCCCCTCTCCCTGCGAGGCAAACGCTTGATTCTCCAATCAGGAAACCACCGAAAACTGCAACCTTGCTGGGTCTATCGCCTGCTCTGCGTTCGACTCTGCTCTGCTCTGTCCCATTGGCCGGCGCAAAGTGATGTAACACATCACCGTGCAAGAGCAAAAGCAGATGCCAAATTGGATATCGGGCATGTTATTAAAAGTTTTGTCACGGTATATCTTTGCTGAATTCAGAGGCCAGCACACCTCTGTGAAAAGGGAGCCACTACATACTCCCTGGCAAAAAAACAAATAAAGACAATTACTCCTGGAGAGAAAGAAAGTACTTTAAAGTTGGCAAACCATCGAACATTTCTGTTTTAATTTAGAAAAAAGAAGGCTCTAATAGGAATACTTGGGATTTCTTGCATAAAAAAAAGAGTCTAGCTGAACTTCTATCCAACTGTTTTCAGTGGCGTGGAACAAAAAATTAGAAACATGCAAGAAGTACCTACTTTTGATCACTAAGGTGTTTTGATCTCATAAATTATGTCTGAAATTAGGCATGGCCTGGAAAATGTGAGCGTGTTTTCTCTCAGTCTGGGAGCTTCTGGTTTCTAGAGTAGGAGCTCTGTTCCTCTACCCTCATCAAATGCCTTTTTCTCCCCCCTTCCCAACTCTGCTTTCTAACAAGTGGGTTTCTCTCGCTGTTCATCTGATCTGTCATGTGGGTAAAATGGAGGAGCGTTGCATCCCTCCCTGGTTTTCCTCTGGGGCTTCCAGAGTCCAAATCTGGAGCTTGGATCCAAACAGACCTGAAAATGTTCCAGTCGAAAGAGGAGGTTTGACCGACAAACTAATCTTAGCCCAACTGTCATAACATTGTGTTTGCCATGCACAGCTAATAAATCATGATAATGCTAAGTTAATGGACCCGGCTTTGACAGTGCGAGGATTAAAAGAGCATACAACAAACAAAGAGTTTCTGAGGTGCAGAGGTATGGTGTAGAAATGGAAATGACTGAGCGATGCATCAAATCCTTTGCTGGTATTTACACAGCCCTCAGCTATGGTCACTGCAAGCCATGAAGCCAAACAGCATTTTCATTCATTGTCCCTCCTCCATCAGATGAGCTGTCAAAAGGTAAAAAAAGCTAGGGTTTTTCTAAAGGGGTAGCATAATAACCCTACTGGAGCAAGCAGCTCCAGGTGACCTGAAGCCAAAATATAGAGAAAAGGGGATGTCCCCAGGCACAAAGATCAGGCTGCGTGAGAGTGGCATGTTTGAAATCCTAACCCACAGGGCGGAGAGATGGACCTTATAAAAGGTAGACTCACAAAGCCTGATGACCTCAGGAATGAAATGCTACACTTCTGCAGACACGACTGCATCAGAAAGGAGACAAGCAGGGAAAGGATCAGTGCAAACGGCAGTTGTGGATGTGGCAATGAGGAAGGATGGTCCAGATGCCGAAGACTGAGGTCTTTGGCCTGGTAGGGATCGCAGACTGAGAAGCATCATGTGGGACATGGCTAGGAGACATAACACAACAGCATGGCAAGGGGCCTGCAAACGCTATGGGCTGAGGCACAAGATGGATCACAACAGGCATGACTATCTCTAAGAGACTGAGAAAGAAATGCAAAGTGGGAGGGGATGCAAAAGGATGCAATAGTGCAATATTTATTCAGAGAAGATCTTCCAGGCAAGTGGAGGGCATAAATGCATTTTGATCAGGGGTCAGCTGCATCTCTTGATAAACCCTGTAGTCCCCTTGGCAGCGTACAGACCAAACAAGGCTGAGGGTAGTTCTTAGATGGCTCTTTGAGGCCTGGAAAGAAACCCCATCTCCCATTCTCATACACGACTTTAACCATGCCGGACCATATAGAACCAGCAGATAATCTAATTTCTCAAACTGGGAAGGCATGGTAGCCAAAGTCGCATGGAAAGCTGAGGTCATTGCAACAACACATTGTTAGGTGGCGCGCACTATCCTCTGCAGATAAGTTCATCTTCAAGGCATCCTGTCTTGGGTTTACATAAAGATTGCAGAGGGCGTGAGGACTCCTTGCACAACTCAAGCACTACAACCCATTTCACAGCCTGGTGCTGCTTTCATCTTCACATTTCCACAATGCAACATGTGAGTTGTCTTAGCCCATTAAACGGGACTGCAGAGAAATGTGTGCAGAATTCCAGTCATTGGCTAAGACTTTATTAAATTTAAATTTAAATAAGCCAAAATCAAAGAAAAGGGGTGAACTGAAAATCACTTCTGGGGAAGACTTTCATTTTTCCCAGGTTTCTGGCTCTTTCATATCCTTAGTAAAATCCTAGACTTTTTTATTTTTCTGTTGAAAATCCAGGGTTCGGTTTATTCTATGAAAGTCATGGTGGTTGTGTACACAGTCTGGTTGGTGAAACAAAATTGCAGACAGAGACAGGCTCTGGGCATGGTTCTTCAACATGTCCTCCTTATTTCATGATGCTTTGAGTGTAGGGACAGGCCGCCCTGGTCCTGGAAGGTTGAAATTTCTTTCTTACTCCTCACATGAGAAAATCCTAGTTAGAAGTGGATGAACCTTAGGATGTCCTGCCCAGGGCAGGGGGTCGGACTTGATGATCTGTTTAGGTCCCTTCCGACCCTAGAAACTATGAAAATATGTTCAAGCTTTTGCTTTGATGCAGGGAGGCACCCAAACTAAGTTTCTCTGAACTATCAAAACTTACCTGGGCTGAAGAAAGAGGCTGGAAATTTCACACCACCAAGATTTCTAGTATTACCTGTTTCCGCTCAGAAGAGTAGTGCGAAGAGGGT